CACATGCCAATATAACACTTTCACCAAAATTACTCTATCAAAGTCCTGAGGAATATTTTCACACATCCTGGGTATTAATATCAAATGCTGAATGGTTATGGCAGCCAAAATACATCAAACAGTTTCTTGAAAGAACGATGCCCAGTGAGGTGTAGATATTAACTCTGTGACCTAGACTGACTCCAGGCTGGATAATAACATTTGATTAATTGGTAACAATTTTCTGTTTTCTGATGTTTATGGTGATCATTTATTGTCTTTTGCAGTCATATAGGGTTGTAGAACCTTATGAGACATTTTTGTTTCCCTAAAAGATAATGAGTCTGATTGGCAAATCTGTTTCTATTAAAATCATTGGGAAATTTGCCAATTACTTCAGAGAGTGCAATATGGAACCCATGAGTTATTATTGCAGTTACCAAATAATCTGCCATAATATCTACAATTACATTACATTTGCATACATTAAAAAAGATGACATTTGTGCCTCTGAAGAGCAGATAATCTGCCTCACAGTTTGTATAACTGTCTATGTTAGGCACTTGGGGACCGTGTGTATGAAGTGTGTCTTTGCTTCATTGTGTATCTAGGATACAGCTTATAATAAAAGACCATATATATGAGGCACGACTCATTCTTCACACATCCTTTTGTTCCACAAGGTGTAGTAATTTTGGGTTTGATATATACTGTCAGCTAGTGCCTCTCCCTGTGCTTATTCAGCTGCACACATCAGCAATAGACAGGTTGAGCAAGGCTCCATCCGCCCTCTGCCTCTCTCTGCCCATTGATCCCTCATTAATATGCAAATACAGACATAAGTAAATTTCTGGTTCCTTCTTACTTCTTTTCAGAGTCCAGGCTGTATTAGTCCCAGAGACTCATTTATTTTATTGAAATGAAAGATTGAATAAGCTGTGCTACTAAACAGGCAAAAATTTTGACACGTGGAGAACTTATTTAATTCACTGGACTGGGACGTAATTGTAGACCAATTATGACAAATATTGTGAGCCTTCTTGTAAACTATCCTCTGTCCTGAACTGGACAGAAAACTATTAGGATGAAAGTATATCTTTGACTGGTTGTTGTGCATTAGCCCCAGCTCTCCCCTGGTCAGATGGGGAGTAGGATTGGATAGGTAAAAGTGAGAGAACTCATGGGATGAGATAAAGGCAGTTTAATAGGCAAACTAAAAACTGTACAAGCAAGCAAAGTAAAAGAAAGAATTTATTTGCCATTTCCCATCAGCAGGCAGGATGTTCCCAGGAAAGCAGGACTCCATCACAAGTAGCAGTGATTTGGGAGGACAAATGCCATTGCTCCAAACATTCCCCCCATTCCTTCTTCTTCTCCGAGCTTTGTATGATGAGCATGTCATCATATGGTATTGGATATCCCTTTGGTCAGCTCTTTATGGAGTTAGACAAATTAGAAGGATCATATTAAGCATTTCAGCTGCCCACATTACTGTTATTTCTCTTCAGCTGTGTTTGTTGTTGCATTGCTTTAAAATAGGAAGATCCTGACTTTGTGTGGGTTTTTCCACTATCTGTGTAATTTTTGTAATTCTGGAAATATGCAGCTCACTCAAGTGTTACAAAAAAAAAAGCTGCATATCTTTGCCTGCCGTATAGCTTAGCCATATGAGGAACTAGACTGAAAAATTCAATATATTTCTAATAAAGAAGGTAAGGTAGAGGAGATACTCTCTGTGAGAAGGTGACATTTTGTTACTTAGCCCAATGGCAAGGTAGAATTGGCCAGTACCAGGTGAGCTATATGCTGCATAAATTATTGCTTATTTCTTAATATGTCTTGTCCTAAATATCTTTAGTCAAAATATAGGGACTTATTTTATAAAGTGAGTCTAATTTTGTTCTCAGAGGTTGTGCAACTATAATCAAACAATTTGATAAGCAGTTGCCTGAATGACAGACGCAGCATGTCACATTGTCTGGAAATATTGAGACATGGTTTGTTCAGCTTTCTTTTTGATTTTTTTTTTTCCCATTACTCCAGCCAGTGTTCTTTGATGTAGAGGCAGAACCAGGTTCAGCAGACATAAGATGAAGCCAGGGTTTTCCTGCACTTGGTGCCCATGTGAGATAGATAAGCAATACACTCCTGAATGAAAGCAGAGAGAATATGCCAGCTCCTCTGTGAAATCTGATGTACAGCACCATGGCAGCTGGTAACAAGGCAGTTGCTATCTGAGGAATCTCAGCAAACTGCAGTTTTTGTAGTCTGGCCTAGAAAGAGATTTTCTGTTAGGGGTGATCCCTTCCCCCAGAAGGGATGGGTTGGTACAACAAAGGAAATGCAGCTCTTTGTGGGTGCTGAAGCTGGGTGCATTTCAGCCAGTGAGAGGTTTCTCCTAAATTAGCGTGGCTGTTTGTGCAATGAGGTACCAGTGGGCAGTGGTGGGAAGGAGTGGTGGAATCACCTTGGAGATCTGGCTGTGGATCCTGATATCCCAGATGATCTCGTGGCACCACCAACTAATTTGATACATTTTGAACTCTAGGAAAACTAGTTTACCTTAGAGATAAAGACAAAATGATATCTTCTGCTTGCAAGCAGAAAGAGGTGGTCTCTTTGGTCATGACCCAACTGTTGGTTTTACTCAAAGACCAAATTACCCTGAGTAATCTGAAACCTGTCAGTACTTTACAGCTGTCCCAAAAGACATTAGCTGGAGTAGCACATTATTTTGAATTAGAAAACATCTCAGGAAGTCAGAGACAAAAAGTTCTGCTGGTGCTTTCAGAGGGAGCTATATATATATAGTTTTGTATCTTCTGCAAACTGTCAGAAAACAGCATTTGTATCCTGAATGTTAAGACTATATCATTATCATTATTACCAGTACGGTCATTATGAGTCTGCTTGTTTTAGCCCTTGGGTAACAAAGTTCACAGCTCTCCATCAAGCTCTGTCATAATCAGCCTTATTATAAAAACATAATATTGTAACCTTCAAAGGCTCCCTGCGCTACTGCAATAAAAACTGGGAATGAACTGAAGTAATCTTTAGGCTAACAGCAGTTCCACTGGGAAAATATAACAATTTCTATGCATGTAATGTACATGCTTTCTCCCCACCCTCTTCATGCTCTTCTCACCAGGACAAAAGCTATCCCTCAGACCCCTTTTGGAGCCGAATTAGCTCATCAAAGCAGAACAAGTTTATAACACAGTGTTCACTGCATATCAAATGTCCATGCACTGCTTTGATTTCCATTCTTTGGAGTGCTGTTGCCATATTTTAAGTATTTCATTTCAAGGAGAAGAGCTATTAAGTGTTTCCCCCAAAGTAGCTGATTATTCAATGGCTAAAGATGTCAAGGATAATGAAATAAAAAGGGAGCTGGGCTGTGATAGTCTCTAACAGGAAAATGCATCTCATTAGATGGCATTCCCACCAGAGAAGTCTATGGTATTGCATGCATTAATTCCTTTCTGCCGTTAAGTTGTTAACCAAGTTTGGGATGCAAACAGCATGCAGCCTCAATGACAGCGCACAACTGTGTGCAAACAGTAATTAATCGTTGGCTCCCTGAATGGAGCCTCTGTGAGGCTGGAGGCAAATCAAAGGGCTGGCCTGGTTTCCAGTGCTTGAGGAACACGCCATGCAGTACAATTGGGAACATTCACGTTATGAATATCCCCTTGTAAGCCGTGAGGCAGAAGGCTGAGGGTAGCTGGCCTCCACAGGCTCAAGTCTGTGCTCAGCAGAAGGACCTGCCCTTTGGTGTTTGGTGATGGGGACAAACTGTGCGTACTCTGATCCAAGGGTATTTCAGTTGAGTTTCCTGGCATTTCTGGAAGGGAAAAAAAGAAATCAGACTTACTACACAGAACATTTGTGTGTGAATTTATATATTCAGGGCTGTTTGTGAGAGTGCATTTTTGAAATGGCAATGGTGTTCTCTACAGGCAGTCACATTAGAAATTTATTGATACCTTAGCATGGCCAGCAAAGACCAGATATACTAAGCATTTTCTCCCACCCCCACCCAGTTTCTTGACTGGAATTAAGAGCTTTTTGACCAGGCAGTGCATTTTGAGAAAGAGAAAAGTGTGTCAGTATGAAACACAGTGGTTGTCATTAGAGGATCAACACATTTTACCATCAATGCTTGCAGTGGTATCTGAGACACCACAAAATTTCCTTGCACTTAGAAGAAGCAAAACAGCTTCCTGAAAGAGAGAACCGTGTGGGAAATGTGGGCAACTGTGGTCTACTTGGAAGGATAGCAAGTGGGTCACTGTCATCATGGGTGCAGCTGTGGGTGTGGTGGGGGGTTGTGATGAGAGGCATTATGGAGGCCAGGGCCAGGAAGACTGTCAGGCACTGAAATGTGTTTCATTGTGTTTATAAAATCCCCTTAAAATATTGCAGTATCTGTAGCATATATGACAATAGTAGTGCCCATCCTGCAGCTTGCAATAACCATACTGCAGCACATGTGCTCATGATTACACAGTGTGTGTATCATGACATTTTCTGCCGTGGTAAAATCCATTTGCCTGGGCAGTTCAGTGTCAGGACTTCTCCCTGTGCTGTGTCTGTCTAGCAAAAGGAGATTAAATACAGAAGAGCTAAGGAGATCATATAAATTGAATGACTCTGGGGTTATATGATATTTATATCAAAATAAAACTGATCTGCATTGTCAGTTGATGTTAATTACCCTAGAGACATGGTACAATTTATACTGGCTGAGGTGCTGTTCCTCTTATTTGTCTAACATGCATTCTGTATGTGATAAAAGTCAAAATCTTAGTAATTAATTTTTCGTTCACCAACATCCCTTATTATGCAAGATAAAGTGGGAGGTTTTTTTTCCTTCGTATCCTTATGACAGTCTGTGTTGCTGAGTAGATATTTGTAGAGAGCTGTTAGGTCTCCCACCAACTTTGCAGATCTCTGTACCTACACTTTTTTCTTTCTACCTGTAAGCCTAATACCGACATGTGTTGCTTGTACCCTGACAGGTCTGATTGTCCGAGAGGTGAGCATCGAGATTTCCCGTCAGCAGGTCGAGGAGCTCTTTGGGCCCGAGGATTACTGGTGCCAGTGTGTTGCCTGGAGCTCTGCAGGCACCACCAAGAGCCGGAAAGCCTACGTCCGCATTGCATGTGAGTGTTTTGCTGTCCGTGTTGAGTTGATGAAGCTTAGGTGAGAAGTGGAAGCTCTGCTGTTCAAGAGAGATTTTTATTTCCAGCCAGTTAGGCTTTGTATTTTCTGCAGTTACAGGTGCATACTAAAACTAAGGCCTTCAGAAATATTTGTAATAATTTCAGTTTATTCTCTTCTTAAGAACAAAATCTCATTCTTCTCACTCGTGTGAGGGGAAAGCATCAAAACCAGTATTTCTTGAGTACAGTACTTTTATGTCTCGAGAAAAGTGTCTGAAGGTAATGTGTAGGAATACTAACAAAGCAAGCTATGAAATGAGGTGATAGCTGTTCTTTTCACAGAGCCACAGGACAGCTGAGGCTGTAAGATACCTCTGGAGGTCATGTGATCCAACTCTTGGCTCAAGCAGGGCCACCTAGAGCCAGGATCGTGTCCAGATGGCTTTTGAGTATGTCCAACAAAAGAGACCCCACCACGTCTCTGGGCAACCTATGCCACTGCTCTGTCACCCTTACAATGAAAAAATACTCCCTGATATTCAGAATGAACTGTTTCATCTTGTTCCCATTGCCTCTGATCCCATCACTTGGCACCACTGAAAAGAGCCTGACTATGTCCTTCTTGCCTCCCCCCCCATCTGGTGTTTGTACACATGAATGGGATCCCCTTAAGCCATCTCTTCTCCAGGCTGCACAGTACCAGCGTTCTCAGCTTTTTCTTGTAGGAGAGATGCTAGTCACCTTTGAGGCCCTTTGTTGGTCTGCTCCAGTATGTCTATGTCTCTCTTGTTCTGGGGAGCCCAGAATTGGACCCAGCACTCCAGGTTTGACCTCACCAGTGCTTAGCAGAGGGGAAGGATCACCTCCTTCAACCTGTTGTCAATACTTTTCTCTAATGCAGCCCAGGCTACCATTAGTGTTATTTGCCATAAGAGAACATTGTTGACTCACAGTCAACTTGGTGTTCTCCAGAACACCCAGGTTCTTTTCTGTAAAGCTGAAAATATATATCACTGCAGCCGTATAATAAAACTGCTGTTCCTTAACAAAGAAAAAAGTGTGTGTTTAACATATCACGTGATAAGATTGGTAATATGAGTTTGAAAGCGATCATCTCAACCCTAATATTTCATCATTGTTATTCATGGCTACTAACCTCAGCATTTATTTGGAACCAGTCCCAGCTTAGATCCCAAGAACACAGGGCAACCAGTGCCCTGAAAACAGATCTTCATTTGACTGTACAAATATTTAATGTTCATTAATTTTCAAAGAGGTGATTTTCTTTGTAATAGGGTAGTCACACTGGGGACTCCCATTTCTCTTTCACATGATGAAATACTGTTCTGTATAATAGGAACAAAATATATAATCTGAAATTATCTCTCTTCCACAGTTTTCACCTCAGCAAAAACATGTTTTGTGAGAAAAGGTCATTAGAAGCTGGATCTGCAGCATACTTATATTTCCTGCACTGTGCCTAGCAACTTATAATGGTATAAGAGAATTCTTCCAGCCAAATAAAGCTTTTCACAGACATATTAAAGGAAGGACCTCTGTCATTTAAAACTCTCCATTTAGAGCTTAATTCTCCTTTTGTTCTTGAGAAAGTACTACGTGGTTAAATCCTCAAAGAGGAGATACCTTCTGTGTAAACATCCAGATACAAGTCTGGGAGTTTTCATTGAAATACACATTTTTGAATTCTTTTAGTCCAAGTAACTGAATGGAAATAGAGACGCATACTTTTGAGTACAGGACTACACCTCAGAGAAGAATTTCCCTGGGGTTAAGGGGAATTAAAATTATTGTCTTCTGGCAAAAGTAGAAATGCCATTACACGTGTTCATAGTACTGTCTCATGGCAGGAAACTTTTCAAAACTTTGCGGATTTTCTTTTTTTTTGTACTGAAACAAAAGAGAGTTATTTCAGGTTTTTTTTCTTCTAAGCAGTCAGCACTTCAGAAGGGTTTAGCAATGTTTGAACAGGTTTTTTAGATTATGACTCTTAAGTTAACTCTTTTTATTAGATTTTCATGTCCTGCCAGGTAGCCCTTGACAGATGGCCATTAAATTAACACAGTTTGGAAGTATTTTATATATATTTGAGTGTATTTAACTTGATATTTAAGTTACTTTTTTGTGCTGCCAAAACTATGCACCTAATTTCTATATAACACATAATAATTATGTGAATGTTATTTTATATCAATTGACATTTCTTCCCAGGTGTCCACATTTTTATTGAAAGTGCTCATAGTAGAGAGTTTGCCTATTTTTCTCACTATATTTTGGAAATAGAGGAAAAATCAGTTCAGTAATTTTTCTAGTCTCAGTGGCTCCTTTTTTCTTTTTTTTTTTTTTTTTTTTTTTTTTTAAATCTAATTAAATAAACACTAGGGAGTTTTATAGGCCTGTTACACAAATGTGACTTTGTATTTTACTGAAGTTTTTTTTAACCTCTTGTTCCTGAATTTGGGGTTCTTGGACAGCTGTGACACAAGCAAATCACTTAGACTCCTTGGGATAAGGGGTTGAAGTATTAGGCCTTCAATCTGCAGATTTTAAACCGGCAGCAGAAGCACATTCACTGCAGAATTGTCCATTTCCAGTTACACAGATTTCAGTAAATTTCTCAGGTAACTGACGACTATTTTTTAGAAAGTAAGACAGATGATGTGTGGAGTATGCCTTATCTCATGATGTCATTTGGTCTACAAGATCCCTGTTTTAAACTCTGGACTCAGATACACCAATACCCATCTGTGTTCACAACTTTGACTTCTTAGGACTGAATCTGTACTGGCATTATAATAGCTGTTTCATTATAAACTTTCAACACAGCTCAGAAGTGTTCTAATGGTTACACAGTGTGCTGTGAGGCTGGGATGCAAAGTAGGGTCCATGCACTATTTATTAATCCAGCAAATCAAGGATGTCCAAAACTTAAGAGGGACAGAAGAGTCCAGCTCTCCAGATCAGTCTGCAGCTATAGCTGCTTGTTTGTCACCAATGCATTCTTCCCTTTTAATTGGCACAAAAGTGAGCACTGACACCTTTAGGAAAGGTGAGGGGTAAATGGAGCATGTAAAGTGCCCTGCTTAAGTGGTATTATTTGTCTTAATACCTGAACCTGGTGATTTCATCTTGACAGGTACAACTGTAGCATAACTAGCCATACTTAGCACACTAAGAAAAGCTTCTCTCCTCCCTCTCCTTTTCTCTCTCCCTCTCCCTATTCATCTTCTTCTCATCCTCTTTTTGTCTTTTCTCTCTTATGCCCTTGTGTCTTATTCTGGAATTATTGTGTTCTCTCAAGGGCTGGAGCTGCACTCCATTAAAACAAACAAACAAAAAAGTAGCATCCAGCATCACTGTTCACTGAGCATGTAATAGAATTAACTGAAAAGTAATTTGAAAGTGTGAAAAATGTGCATCCTGGAAAAGTGGCTTGTGTTTGTTTAATGCAGGGTCAGGCATGTGTCAGAAAGTACATAACAACCTAGTCAATGAAAGTTCTCGGTGAAAATCAATTGCAACATTGCTCTGACCAAGAGCTTCAGTTATTCAGGAAAGGGGTAATCTATAGATATGGAGTAAAGATGCTGATGGTTTTCAAAGGCTAACCATGCTAGCAGTATAAACAGAAAAAGAGTGTGAATCTAAAGACAACATCCCAGCTTCCCTAAGTCTTCAGGGCATTTAAAGGCAAATCACCGTTGCACTCATGGATCACGAGTATGCTTGGAAATGACTCCCTTCTGTGCAGGCTGTTTCTGATAAGAAACATTTTTCCTATTTCATGGAATTAATCTTCCTGGGGTGCTGGTCTTCCCATGAGAGCAGAGCTGAGCATTTCTTCCTTTTAGACTAGCAGATTTGTTGAGATTAATTTTCACTTTACCATTTTAGATATCTCAGTGCCCAACAAAGTAGAGACACCTATAATGTATGTATCTTGGTGAAGCTGGAAATATATAACAAATTTTCTCAGATATTGGCCAAGGAAAGTGCTAAAACACATTTCCTATTTATTCACACATTTCTTGTTTATTCTAGGTACATCCTATCAGGAGCACTAGTGAGTCACTAATATGTTTTGATACATTTTTTCTGCTCAGTTAAAATATGTTGCTGTTGTAGAGGGAGGGAGGGAGGAGGGGGATTGGGCAGCTTTACCTTCAGCTGTAAAAAACCAAGCCGAATATAAAGTTTTGACATGAATTTTCTGTAACAGGACTGATGTTGTTGACCAGATAAAACCTAACAGGGAAAAATTCCTGTTGAAACAATGAATGAGATCTGAGCCTGTGTAACCAAAAGTAGAGCTAAACCCACTGGAAGATACATCTGATAAAGACTAAACAATAGCTGCAGGATTTGACCTAATTTTTAGATCAGATAATAAAGGGGTGGCTAAGATAAATTGCTTTGAGCCCATGTGCATAGAGCAACCTCACTTCTCATTTGCACCACTTCAGTGTTGCTGTAGCCTCCCTGACTTCATGATGTTAACCCATGCTGTCCTTGAGAAAATATAGTAACAATATAAGCCCTAAATCTGCTGTCAGGTTTCGGATTTGTTGAACACCCATGAGAAAATGGAAGCTATCTCTGTAATTTCTATTACTCAATCTTTTTTTTTTTTTTTTTTTTTTGGTGTAATGAATGGGAATAGATTTTTTCTTTTCCTTTATTCATTATCTTCAAATCAGATTTTAAAAAACAAAAAGTGTTTTAAAAAGCCCTGATGTAGTAAGGAACTGTGCTACAGTTAATCTTTTTTATAATTTTGTACTAGTTTCCTATGTACTTATCTAAAAGCCTTTATTCCCCCAGACATTTTTTCAAAGGAATGTAGTTAAAATATGCATGTCAGATACTGTATACTGATTAGATAAATGCAGTGCAGAAAAGTACATTGGTTCATCTGGTGGTTTATGTCTGCTTACAAGGGATATGCAGTTATACAAAGAAACAGATGTGAAAAAAGCCACACA